CACACACACACAATCTCTCTCGCACACACTTACACACACTCACTGCTCACACACTTACACATGGAAACCTCCCACACACACTTACACATGGAAACCTCCCACACACACACTTACACACAGAAACCTGCCTCACACACCCCCAGCAGTCCATAAATACTCCGGAGCGCCGAGCTGCTGTTCTGCTGGGTGTCCGGGGCTCCAGGGGGACATGGAGAAGGTACAGAGACTGTTCCAGGTACAGAACCAGCTGCTCCGGCAGTGCCTGGCCGAGCTGCTGGGGACCTACGTCATGATGGTGAGTGTGTCTCTGTCCGCCTGTCCGCCTGTCCCTCCGTGTGCGATCAGGTCAATTCTGTCCCTCCGTGTGGGTTCAGGTCGTGTGAGATTGCTCCGATTCTCCCGAGATGTCAGCTGAGCGCGGGAATATTCTTCCTCTCTCCCCCCCCCTCCTCCTCCCTGCAGAGGGAAAGCACGGACTTTGGCCACAGCAACTAGCAGGCAAAGCAGCAGCTCTGTGAAACTGACAAGCAATGAGCCCCCAATGCACTCGACACAGCTCCGCTCGTGATTGGCTTGCACCTAAAATATAGCGCCTTTTTCTGGAGGAGCATCTTGATCTCAAGCATGGGAGAAACAAACCTGTTTGTGTCTTTCGGTAGAGCTCAATCTGTGCTGGTTTGTGTCTTGGAAAGTAGCAAATGAGCTGCTTCTGTTCCCAAGATATAGCGCCTTCTTTTTTCAGACTCTGTCTCCTAGGAACCTTAGAGTTAAAATTCGAGTTAAAAGTCAAGGACAAAGTGCTGATCCTGAAGAGGTACGTCCCCCAGTCCAGCTGTGCATGAGCAAGACACTGAGTAGTTAATGTACTTAACCAATACGAGGTGGCTCAGGACTGGGCTAGACTCCTAGCGCACGTTACTGGAACAGAGCGTTGACACTGAAAGAGAATTGCTGTGATTTCACCACTGATTGCAAATTGCTTTCTCGGTCTGTCCAGGGGGGAGGGGGGACTTTTCCATTTGCATAACTGCCGTTTGTCTCTGTATTTTCTGTGTGTAATATCTTAATCTAATCACAAAATTTACCGTTGTATGTCTAAAATAGGAAACAATTGTGTGTGTATGAGAGCTGAATGTCTGGGCTCTGGTTCCACCTATTCGGCTGTGTTCTGGTTCCAGCTGCTTTGCCGTGCTCTGATTCCAGCTGTGCTTTGAGCCCAGGTGTTTAGTCTGTGCTCTGATTCCAGATGTTTGGCTGCGGTGCAGTCGCCCAGGTGACGACGAGTGGTGAGAAAAAGGGTGATTTCCTGTCCATCAACCTGGCTTTTGCCCTCGGTGTCACCTTTGCTGTACACGTCTCTGGAGGAGTGTCAGGTAGGGCACAGCTTTGTGCACGCTCACCTGTGTGTGTGTGTGTGTGTGTGTGTGTGTGAGAGTGAGTGTCAGGTAGGGCACAGCTCTGTGCACGCTCGCCTGTGTGTGTGTGTGTGTGTGTGTGTGTGTGTGTGTGTGTGTGTGTGTGAGTGTCAGGTAGGGCACAGCTCTGTGCACGCTAGCCTGTGTGTGCGTGAGAGTGTCAGGTAGGGCACAGCTCTGTGCACGCT